CATCATCGACAGAGGTTCGGTCATTTTTAAAACGTGAATGCCACACAAAAGTTTGCGGACTCCCCAAATGCTTGCTTTAGGATTTCATAGGTTTCCGTAGCCGTTTTGGCGAGTCTTTGGCCAAATTTGATGCACACGCCATTCCGAAATCGCAGGAGGGTCGGTGTAATGCACTACCAAAACGCCCGTAACTAAGAAACAAATGCTAATTCAATGATGCCGGCTGGCACACTGATTCACTATGAATGTAGGCCGCACCCCCTAGCGGCAGAAGCTCGTACTACATCCGGTTCGCCGTCTATTGACACAGTCTTGAAACTTTCCGATCGCACCTCGTATCAGGCAAAGTAGAAAAGCTTTTCAGGAATCCATGCAATTTCTGGTGACAGCGACTGAGTAAGTGACGCCGATGGCTTGGCTGTAAAATGCAACATAAGAGGCGCACAGCAAACAGACTCTGGTTTCTTTGCTGATCTCACCTGTACGTTCTGGTTTCATCACACACGGACGCTCTGAGCTTGAGGAGCAGCACGCGGACAATGTTCACGAACAGAATGAAGTTCAGCTGCAATGCAAGAACAACTGTGCTCAAAAGTGCTTCGACACTCAGGCTTAATTATCCCACACTCTCACAGCTTTACAGTTGGGTGTACTGCGGGTTGCAAAGAAAACTTTTAGCACATACAGCATTTGTAAAAGCTCAGAACTGCTGTCATCCTTGATAGCTTTTGATTAAAACAAAACAGACTGAAGTTGGGTACAGACAAGCCTTCTGTGTTTAAGAGTCTCTTCAAGATCTCAGTTATGGACGTGCATCATCCTCCCTCCTGTGGAATAAGAAATGGTACAGCGACTGAGTATCATTGGTCACTAAGCTGACAATTCTGCAGCCATTTCTTGATGTTTTTTCCTTGCATCGAGTCAGAACTCTAATTCTGATGTTCCATAATTTCAATGAGTGGTAGTCGTAACCTTGTCACATACTACAAATATGAGACTCGGTCAGAAAACTGCAAAATTTTCAAACATAGGAAAAACATACTTTTGTTCATCTCAGCCTACCATCATTTCACCAAAGTTCCACGATCATCACCTTGATGCACGTAATATTTCCCTTCAATCATCACAATATCACAATATTCCAGAGTTGAGGCTTTACACTTGACTTAACATGGACCAATGAAGTCCACAAAAGTTCGCCATCAGAGCACCACTACGATTAACACTTCAAACTTCCATGTTTCTCTCCTCACCACATTATAACCTGAGGAACTTTGTTCTGTAACCATATGTCGATGCACATTCCACTTCAAGGCCTCTTAATTAATTCTCATGAAAAAACACACATTTGCTGTATAAACTACGACAGAAGTACTCACAAGTATGGAAAAGGTCGTGGGCCCTCGGATGAGGAGGAATAGTAGCTTGCTTGTGTTAGTGGTCCAACAAAGCGTGTCCTCCAAGAAGATGCGTCCCACAACCCACGGAAGCACAAACAAAGCTGGAAGCCCTGAAGAAAATTCACGTATTACAGCTCATATAGGGGGAATGTTTTGAAACCAAGATCAGCAATAAGACTAGTGTTTCTACACTCACAAAACTTAATCTACGAGTTTTATAAGATGAAGACGTAGGTTTCAAACAGGAGATTTACAATGACACACTAATGTCGAAATCACTCACATTTGTTTATTAAGTTTTAAATTGCTATTCATCTAAGACAGTCAGCGTATTTCAGTGGTAAATAATTGAAATTAAATTAATTCGGAAATAAGTAATGGTATCGGAAGATAAGATAATTTGGAATTAAAATGTAAAATAAAATATATTCCTGCTTCTTTTAATGGGATACATTTTTACATAAGGCAGACTGAGTCCCTTCATTGATAGTAAGCGTACACAAAGTCACATAATAGGAGAATCTAATGAATAATAAATCGGAAATAGTACAAAAGGAAACAGTCACAGTGTAATTTACGGTATCAAAGTATAATTTGCCTGCAGAAACAGGCTAAATATCCTGAATTTCCCGAATACAAAGTACAAAAACTAAACGCTTAGCGTCGCTCGAGTCAATTTTTAACAGACTGGAACATTTCTGTCTACTAGTCGATATTGGTGTTCCGGGTTTTGGCGCTCGAAGGGTTGATAGCAACGGGATTTTGTAAGAAATTAATGAACGTGTAACTACAATTCAATCCATTAATGTATTATATAGTTCAGGCCACTTAAATTTCAACTTATTTCATGACTTAACATATTTCGGCACAGCAATAAGAATTTAGGACATAATATACAAATTAATTATTACTAAATCTGTCCTTACATCTTTGTCACATCTACAACGTGTGTCAAATGATTGCAAATAACATCTACTTACATTTTAACCGCGAATTTTAACACCTGAAGTGCGGATGCTACAATTAATACTTACCCCAGCCGAGCAGGACGTACAAATTGATGGCGCTGGTGTCGGAGAACAGAGCCAGGAAGATGAGATTATGGAGGTACAGTCCCTCCATAAGGATCCAGGAGTAGTTGGCCATGATGCAATATTGCCATACAGTCGTCACTGTCTTGCACAGCAAATTGTCCTGTAACGCAGCTCAGTGAGTGAGAGCAATTTTGATAGGAACCTCCAACATTATTTCCCAATCAAATTTTGTTATCAATATCTCTTTTCGTGTGGAGGGTAACTGTGTATGTTTAGTAAATAAGCAGCCTTGGACAGCCGAAAGGGGGTGGAGGGTGGAAGGTGGAGGGTGGGGTAACAGCTCTTCACTCTACAGGAGCGTTTCTCAACCTATGGTACGCAAAAATAAGTTATAAAGTCAAGATAATATTAACATAAATAAGTTTTCCCTGAACGCATTTGGTTAGTGGTACATTTAATGTGTTAGACTAGAATTAGCGGCACGGGCAGGGGAAAAGGTTGAAAACCCCTGGTCTAGAGGATTAGTATGTTACGAAATGTTACACAGGACACGGACTTTGAAAGGATTCCTTGGATAGATCCGAGCAACGGGAAGCGGGCATGAGACTTGGGAAATTGGAATGTCAGGTCTTTTGAAAACAGCAGACTGAAAATCAACACTACAGGCTACTTGAATCGGTGCGAAACGTGGATCCTGATAATAAATATTGGAGGACCTAAGAGGGATGAGACAGGAGACGGCTAACTGCGCAATGAGGAGCTTAATATTTTTTACTAAAAATATTTTTTTGGATGATAAAATCGAGAAGGACGACGTTGGCAAATCGTGTAGAACGCACTGAACAGCCTGAGGGGAACTGACCACTCGAAGATATTGGTGTGCATGAGAGGAAAATATTAAAATGGATCTTAAGAAAATCGTGATGGATGGGTTTATCTGACTGACGGTACGGACAGGTGACTACATCTTGTGAGCGCGGTTATGAACGTTTGGGATTTAATGAAGGGCCAGAAATTTCCTGCTAAAAACATCTGAAACATTTAAAAAGTACGAAAAAGAATATAAAATATCGGAACAGACAACTTTATGTAGGCCCTAGGCCCTACGTATCACAGGCCCTATTTATAGACTATCAGGTGCCATTAGCCACTTTGTGAGATGTAAAATATTACAGGATAAAAGCGAAAGTGATTGTTTAATCGTAAATATATATAAGTCTGGCGATAACTTTGAACCCTCTGAATTAATCAGCATCTTCACCGACATTGTATCTGTGAGGAAATTTAACCCAAGAAACTTCCTCCGGAATTATTTCTGACGACACCTAGGAAATTTTGATAAAATTCACATGGGCACTCGTTGCTCTAGTGGAAAATCGTCCACGTCGTACACAAAGAGACATCTGTCTCTCACGTGAATGTCGAAAATGCCAAGTGGTCCTTTGACCGGTGTTGACTCGCGTATAGCGGAAAGGCCGTGCCACGGCACAGCTGCCGAATGCACTTCAACTCCTGAACAGTCACAAGGGACCATGTCACAGTTTGCTCACTCACCTGGTCATAGAAATACGACGAGCCGTTCTTTTCTACGACGTCCATACGCAAGCCGACTCCCCCGACGAACAGAACGTCCTTCAGGAGAGCCATGAAAGCGCGCATTATGAAGGACACGAACAGGTGAAGATGCAGCATGTTGCGGGGACAGCGCAGCTTCCTGTGGGCGAGTTCGTCAGTCATCATTCACCGTGCGACGAAGAGTTCGATTTCTTTCTTTGGGATCAACTGGTTGGGTGAACAAGATGGCGGGACAGAAACACTGGTACACCAGAGATATTGAGCAGTGCGTAGGACGAAATGGAATATCAGATGGACATCTTCCTTGTAACTGAGGGAGCCCGCGTGAAAAATTGACCAACAAAATCATTGACGTAAGTATAATTTCTGCTTTAATGTTGTTCAGTGTCTACTGATTAATACATTGCGGCCTCGTAAAATCCCAGGCTAGGAGTAACGCGCGGTGGGAGCACGTGGTATCGAGAACACACGGTTAATGCGCGTGTAGCGAAGTCGTCAATGTGACCCGGGAAACATTTTGCCTCTTGAATTGTGCTTTCAGTCGTCACTGTCAGTTGCAAGACTGATTTTTCACACTTGTTCAGTTTTCTGGCTTTATTTTTACTCTTTTCCTCTTACATTCACAAATACAAGATGTCCCAAAAAAGATGTAAACATATTTAAAGAATAAAGTAAATACATTTTAATAATCTTAACAAGTGGTCCCCAACGCGGTGCCCGCGGGCGCCATGGCTCCCGGCAAGGCTTTTATTGGGTGCCCGCGTTGATACGGAAAGAGGTTATACTGAATAATGAAGGCCGTTCAACCATGAACATTATAACATCAAAGCACAGATCTCTACTTACTAATGCCCATCTTGACAGTCGGGGGCCGCTGACCTAAACCATTACATACTTGCTGAATTAGTTAACCTGGTTTAGGTGTGGAAAATGACCACGTCTGTCCGTTTGTAACCACTGAACGAGATTTCGTATAAGATATTTGGAGAGCTTATATGAAAATTAGTCGTCGAATTTAATATTATGTTTAAGTAGAGTGACCCCTAACGGGCACTGCGCATAAGAGATCTACATACGATTGGGTTTAGGGGGGTTGGGGGTGTTACCATCAATAGCTTCATTACCTGGCGGGATGCCTGCGTGTAGGATGCTGAAGGAGGAATCCCCATGCATTAGGAGAATCACGTGGGGAGTCCTCCGTGATAACTTCACGGCACACCCAGAGGCAATTATACGCAAACTACTCACGGAAGTTCCGGAAGTGTATCATATGCATACATGTCCTAATTTGTTATGCTACTTTATGCGAAAAGCGTGGCATAAGGAATCTTTCCAGTGTTTAAAGGCGTGTTTTTCCATAACGTGTGAGAGCTACACTTTAAAGAGTTCTTGTATCACCGTTTAATATCAGAAAATGTTATTTCATTCGTCAAAGATCTTTTTTATTGGACATGGGAATATGGCTGACAGCTTTTCCCCGCTGTGAGAAAATTGAGAACTTTTTTTTAGAAAAAATAATTTTAAGCTCAATGTAAAGACTTCCATTATAGGTCTTGCCTCAAAATGAAATGCCAGCAAACAACCTCTGACCTTTAACATGCTGTTATTTCGCGGTTTGCCTTCAATAATTTAAGAGACGTTTGCTCAGTATCGGAAGAACACTTTCCATTAACGATTGCCTACAGGAGGAAACGCTCGTCTCTTGTGAGGAACGCGATAGACCCAATTAACACCTCAGCCTATCTCAGGTCAAACTGAAAAAATATATTCCGCATACAAAGAGCATAACATTGGATATCTGAAGTCCGTAGAGGTGAACACAAAGTTTTAACTTCATACCGAATGGTTCTGGTCCGAATAGCTTTCATGAACACGCACATGAGTTACTAAAATGAAAATCCACTGATATAAATTAAGCGTCTCTGGTCTACTGTTTCATTTGTCTGCCACAGACTTACTGTCGAGAGAGCAGCACATCTTAATCTAGAGGACCTTGGTTTTACGATTATTCAGTACAATAAACAGCCTGAAATCGAGATTTATCCCGAACTATGAGTAGGGGATAAACCTCGACTCCCCCGAAACGTCGTACAGCGGGTAGCGGGACGGCTTTACTTTTTATTTTAATTAGACAGATAAATGCATGATGAGTAGCGGGAAGGCGTTGTCTCGCTACACGCCATGTGGGCACTTGGGGTGAGAGTCCGTATAGCTCCAACTCATTCTTGACCTCGACACTAGATGGGGTGAGTGGTTAGTGTCATGCCCCACGGTACCCACTGGTCTCGCGCGCAGTGGTCACACAATCGAATTACAGTCAATTCGAAATCATTATGATTTTGATATCTGTCGTTCAAAGTGATTTTCAGAGATAATGGTGCAAAAGAGTTTTTGATGGCTCTTACATCCTATTCTGTGACATTTTCAAATTAAGCCCTTGCACTCAGCCTATTTCCTACGTAATGATAAATATATTATGGGTCACAACATACGTCGATTACAGTGTTTTAATCCAATGCAATATTCGGAGTGCAATTAAACCTATTTCAACGCTGCTCAACCGTCCAAGATGTCATTTCAGGAAAACGCACAGATGAAGCCCGGGAACTACAGAGTAGCGAATGATTTTATACAATTTTATGCACACATAGACCTGAAGTTTTTATATAATAAAGCATGCACAGACAAACGTCACCAACACGGTTTATCATTTGTATCCAGTTTTGTCTGTCAACGTATTTGGTGTATTCATCCGCGGAATAATTGAATAAAATGGCGGAATCCTGGAAAACAGACCCATATCTGCTGCGGTCAGGACTTCAATGGCATCCAAAACCAGCTTTCTAGTTTCCGGATTACAAATTTCAGTGAGTAATTCTTGAGTTTTGTATACTTTTAACTTCTCAACAGCCTCTGGTATTGTCGAAACGAGGTCTTATTATAAAGGAACGAAATACATGTTTCTGGTAAGGAACTGCTTTGGACTAAAGACTCTTGAATTTAACGAAGACCGAGCGAAGATATGATAAGAAGAACTTAATTCTGAGAAGGAAAATCATGTGTTCGCAGTGATCAGTGGAAGACAAAGTACAAACAGCTGAAGGGCGTAGTTCGTGAACATCAGCAAAATTTAACCTAACCCAATTCAACCCAACAGGGGTAATCAGCGTCACTTCAACATGGCGACCTGCGCACGAATTTTCGAAATAGATCATGGATGGTCGGAAATTGCTGAAATTTTCTATGGACGTCGTGCCATAGGTAAGTAATAGAAATTCATACCCTTTCGTGTCACAACACTTGTGATACATTCACACGAAGGCATCAAATTCGCGAGGTGGTTGAAACGCTAAATCGGCCACGGTCAACAACATCCGACTTTATCAGCAAGGAATTATGCACAAGGACGTTTCTTTATATTTTCTACATTGTGTCTATACGTCAACAAGGGACCCCGTTAACAATCTCTGGAAGAAACACGCCGAACTATGTGAGCGGACTTTGGGTTCGAATTACACCAATTCTCCACATTCATACACAAGTGCGACAGGCGTGACCTGCAAGCACGTTACCATAACCTCACTTCAACCACTAAGTAAAGAAGTTAACTCTGGACGCTGAGATAGCGAAAGTTCTCCGACTACGAAAAGAAGTTTTGAAGGTAACAAAGAAACAAACAAAGATGTTCCGGTAGCTGTTGTACCACATTAACTTTGTGAGGAAACTCCAAAACTTTCTCTGCGAAGAGTCAAGGACCAGAGCTTAGTAACAGGAGCTGGCTTCCAAGAGGCTGACTTGTAGTTTTGAAGAGGCTTTACCGTCAGGAACCGACATAAAACTGGTCCCTGTCCTCGGAATATGAAAGCCGTGTTCACTATTCCGACCACGAAGCATTGGGCTGGAACAGCTAACATGTCGATAGCATACACACCTAAACACCGGGTGTTCCACAAAACTGCGTTCCACGAGTAACATAAATCTAATCACACTGGAAACAAACATGACAGCTAGGCCTCAGAATTAAGATCCGTCCATCAAGACACTCCCAGACAATATCACATAAACGCAAGGAAATTGTCTCATACGCCTGTATATTATTAATTGGTTTTTCATATCAGAATTTTCAATAATAATATAAAATGTCTTTAGATTAATATTAAAGTATTTAATTTTCTTATTGTTAATATCCAATTTCTCTTTTCGTACGTGCACGTGCCACTCGTTATGCAGTCGAGTTTCTTCTCCACAGAGGCGTGAATTTGAAAGTGGAATAACAATCGTATTTTGACAATTCAGGTCAGAACCAGAATTCTCCGAAACCGTCTCGTACAGCATCTAATTAAACAAGAGCTGATACGGATCTTTAATATGTGTGAAATATGTAGTTGCATCTCGAGGCTACGTGAAACAAAATGTAAATAATATTAAAATGGTAACGTTCAAAGTCTATACAATTTTGTTCCCTGAATAAAATTCCCTTGGGCCACTCAGTGGTCGAGAACTCATGGAAGCATCGGCTCGCTTTTACACTCAGAAAGCTCTCTTTCTACGTCACAAATAACTGAACTCACTTTATGGAGGCCAGGACGCAGAACGCGATGACCAGCGTGCTGAGCGACACGGCGTACCCCACTTGGGCGATTGTCTTCAGGGCGGGGAAGTACCCCTGAAACACAGCATCCCTTTGTGTGATACAAGTCTGTCTGTAGGTAACAAATTCGGCCACTGCAGAGAGCAAAGTGTTAAGGGGCAGCAGACACATTTCTGGCGAGAATAGAAGAGGTCAAGGTCGTATTGAGGCGCTAAAGAGTTTAAAGCAATCTGAAACAAAAACACAGTTAAAGCAAATATAAACGTTTTCGAAAGAAGGAAAGAGAATTATAGAATTTAATAACGGGATTATCTAAAGATAAATTAATGAAGATTTCTGTCTTCTGGGTTGTTGCGCTGTGTAGTCTGGTCGATGTTAACCAACGTTTCGGAGGTCATACTGCCTCCGTCATCAGGGCGATGAGTATGAAGATTTCTGTCTTCTGGGTTGTTACGCTGTGTAGTCTGGTC